GTTATTTTTAATTAATGATAATTTAGGTTACACATATTCCTAATTTGAAAAATCCATAAAGTTGATTTCATCGCGCTCCGCTCGTGCTCGTGAATCAAATGCCGTTTACCGCACTTGTTGCATAATATATTATTTTACACTCTTGCCAGACCCCAGTTGGAATATGTTACGCCAGTCCGGAATCCAAGGTATTTTAAATAAATCGAACGGCTGGAGAGTGTACAACAAAAATTTATAAATGCTAAATTATAAATTTAATTTAATTTTTTAGATATAGTGACAACCTTCATTTCTATTGTTTTTGAAAATCCTAGAAGAAATTTTGATTTATTAGTTCTTTGTAAAGTTGCAAAATTTTTTTAACTGTAATCTCTACATTGTTCGAAACAGGCAAACGTTCGCTATATCTATGTCATTCAAACTACTATTCCAATTCTCCAATTATCAGATGTAAAGTCTGTTCATGTATATAAGAAAGTGACTAACTGATACGAATTAAGGAAAGACCTGGGCAAGCTGTAAGAATGAAATATGGCCGAACAGGTCCGTACTTTGCTTATAATTTAATTATTTGGGGTTTTGTTAAGAAAGATACTAAACAATATTTATTTATTTATGTTTAAATCTAAAATAAAATTACAAATTATTTTTATTACCTACTTAAATAACTTAAAATTATTCACATAATATATCAGTATCAGTATCGCTATCATATCCTGTTCTAATTATTATTTGTTCTATATTATTTGCAATATGGATATTCGATTGTTCTGCTTTTTCTATATATTTAACAGAATTTACCCAACTTTGGTTCGGTTTCTATAAGTTTGAGGACATTGGAGTTAAACAGGGAAAAACATTGTTACGATGAATGGCAGATTTCAGTTGGTGCCAAACATGTTCAATGGGATTAAATATACAGTGGTAAGGTGGAAGCCTTAAAACTGTATGCCCTAGATTTTTTGCATAATTATCATAGACGTATTCCTTTTGTAGGTTCAAGCTTTGTAGAACCTCAATTAATTGCTTTTTGGTATAATCTTCGAGAAAACAAATGTCGTTATTATACATCTAGTTTTGGATTGTTGCTTTTGTGTCGCATGAGGAAGGGGTTTTAGTCAACTGTCTACTGTGATAACTTGAATTGTCCATTACAATGACGCTATTAGGAGGAATGTTTGGAACTAGTTTGTTTTTAAACCAACTTTCAAATAAATCAGCGGTGGTGTCTTCAAGGTAACCAGAGAAAAATCTTTAATATTTTTCGCAGACAGAGAAAGTCCATTTGGAATCCAACCATCTTTAGAGCCGGCATGCAAAATAGTTATTCTTTTACCTCTTTTTGATAGCGCGTTTGTTTTACACTTATCAGTTGAGTCAACCCAACCCTTTTCCGGGGTATCATAAGTGTCGAACCAGGTTCCATCCAAATAAATAATTGGCCTTTGTTGTTCTCCGTAAATCCTAATTTTTTCTAGATATTCCAGTCGCCATTCCCGAATTCTAAAAGATTCCATTAAAACTTGCCTTTTGTCATTTTTTTTAAATCTAAAACCCATGTGTTGAATTCACTTCCATAAGGTAGTTCTGCCACATTTAACACCGGTTTCATCTTTTTCAAGCCTCCTAATCAAGATATTTAATGTAAGCACTCTTTGTTCCTCGTATAACTGGTAAATTTTACGCCGTATTATATCTTGATCACTTTCATCTACACTCGAGAAAATATCAGCATCGCTTCTTTTTTTCCTCGCTGAAATGGGATTATTCACAATTTTCCATACATTTGATGTTAGAATTTTCGTCAATGTGGCCGTTTCTTCTAAAGATGCTTGCTAGCTGGCACCACGTTCAATGAGAGTCAAATAAACATTGTTTATAACATCCTTAGTCTCAATAGAATAGTGTTTTCTACATTTGGGCGGGAGCATCTCCTGAGATACACTAGACTCGCACATATTTTGCATAATTCGCACACGATTCCACACACGCTGTATTACACGCGAAACCAGAATGATTACTAATAAACTTAAACTAAGTAGTATACCAAACCAAAGAATATTAAACACAGGTAGGTATAAAATTATTTTCTATTACGGACCACAATTTTACCTGAATTTAAATTCCGTAACTTTAGGTAATAATCTTGTTGCATTGTATGTTAATGACCACCCTTGGATAAACCCATTCAAAAACAATTGGTCACTTTCTCTCTATGAACAGACCATACCTGTACTTATGACAGGGTAGAGAACGCGTTTCCAGATATTGACCCATTTACTCTGAGCTTTGAAGCCGACACTTAAGACCAATTATACCAAGTAACATATTGTAATAAAAAGCTGTAATAATTTAAACTAGTCCACTGACAAAGTATCTCTTTTTTGTGACATTCCTTCCTGCATCTACTGTAGCAAAGACTTGTTTGTATATAAGTGAATTAATAAATAAATAAATAAGCAGTACAATAATGTCATGAGGTCCGGACGTACGATTTTTATCGATAATAAAGTAATCGGTTAAACGTAGAAGTCAATTCCTTAGGATAATTAAAGTCACTACCCGTTTTTTCTCTCAGACATGGCGGTCCTGAACATTCGGGGAGACGCGTCGATTCAATTTACCAGACCGCGCTCGCCTTTTCGACTTTCATTAAGGAGATTGCGATCGCGGGGGGTCGTAAACACGGGCCGCTTTTTAATGTTTTCGGTCGGAGAAAAACCCGGAGCATATTCCGGGGCAGTTTTTCATTCGACGGGATGCGTATATCAACTCGCGCGGATTTGTTCGCTACCGGAGTTGCCCGCGACAAAAAATTGTCTATTATTTTCGCAGATGAACGCAATTTATTTCTACGGACTGATTATCTGTCTTTAAAACTGTTGAACGGTTCGAAGGAGGGGGTTCAAAGTCTGCCACTTTTCGACACTCCACGGTCCGCAGAAACCATATTTTTTTTCGGGAATTTTCTTCAGTTTTCCGAAAATCGCCATGGAACGCGCCACAGGTCCGAATTTTGCACCGAACGTTTTGAAATTCGACAGAATTTTGAAACACTTCGAACACTTCGGAGCGCGAGCATTGAAGATGCCAAGTGAGATTTTGGCGAAACGTCTGCAGGATTCCAGTCGGATGCAGGATTTGCAGGATTCCAGTTGGATGCAGGATTCCAGTCGGAGTTCAACGAGCGAACGGATGATGTCCCGGAATATAGTGTCATTACATTTTTCCATCCGTGAATCAATACGTGAGAATATATATATATATATATATATATATATATATATATATATATATATATATATATATATATATATATATATATATATATATATATATATATATATATATATATATATATATATATATATATATATATATATATATATATATATATATAGAAACTAATCCTACATTTTGTTTTGTTGTTTACCTTGATATCTCTAAAAACAAAAAAGTTACATCCAATTAAAATGTTATCTAGATAAATTGAACGCACGGTACACGTCTCCAAAACCGCTTGTCCAATCGAAAAAATTCTTGGACGAGAAATTTCAATCAATATTTGAAATCACAACTCGCTCATATACAGGGTGGGTCATTTTGTAGGCGGTTATATTGGGATCTCGATGACCATGAAAGAAAAAAAGAAAAATGGCTAAAAGCGTTGAATTGTCTTGTTGGCGAGATAACTTTGAGTTGTTTGTTCTGTCACATTATTATACCGTGTGTCCCCGCATAGAGCGGACAAGACGTAACTTGTTCATTTATAGAAACATTTATTTGCAGATTATTTGAAATTTATATTGATAATAATTTTACACTGGTTCGAAGTTTATATTGACGTGGAGCCTGCGAAAATCGATAAAATCCGATGTGACGTCACCATGCTATAACCTATAGCTCGCATAAAGTGAAAATCTGTAAGTTGTGTATACGGATCTTTTTTTGAAGTGACGCAAAGTCATCAACCGTGAACATTTATTCAATACAATCACAGCAATACGACAGAATCCGTAGATAAAAGAATTTAGGTCAGTTAAACAATTCACATCGGCTGAGATCTAATTTATCGTGACGTGGCAAGGCGTTTTCGTGTGACCTCGTATTTGAAGAGCCCTGGGTGAACTTTAAGTCCCTTATTTTAACAGAAATAACTTGTTTTCAACAAAAATAGTTACCCGGTAGACTTCAGCAGGTCATTAAGAATGACGTATTATAAATACGAAAATATTATACAGGGGGGTCGAAGAACAAGGAAACGTGAAATTATTATTATTTTTAGAATTGTTTCATTTTAAAAATGTCAAGAAACTAATTTTTATCCGCCTTAGTTTATATTATTTATATACTCAAAACATTCAAAGTTAATATCAGTTTTTACAATATATTTATTAAGAAAATACAGTCAAAGTATGGAAAATCGAGTAAATCAGTATAAAGTCAGTAATATGGTAATCTGGACCAATAAATTTTGCTTCGTTTTTTCCTCTATGCACTGGTTATAAATCTACATGTAGAAAAGAATTACATAATAATATAACAATAATGAGGACATTCCTCTATTTGGATATTTTTGGAAAAAGTTTATACATCAAAATAAACAATAACACTATACGTTAGGCCTCCTTTGGGGAAAAACTAATGTGGAGGACAAGGTTGTTTCTTTTCTCTTAAGTCCACATTGAAAGGGTAGTATCTATTTATTATTATTTTAATTTAGCCTTAAATACAGGAAATTTTCAAAAATCGAAACTCTTAAATTCGGTCGTATATCGAAAAAGCAATCAAATTTATTTACAAATTAAAAAATGGGGTGGCAAACGGGGCCGATAAGGGAACAGTCGGTAACGGGTCTTTATCTAATGGCGGCGTCCGGTTAGCGCCGAACAAAAATAAAATGGCCCAAAAATTTTCGCTTCGTTTAAAAACTCTTTAGAACTCTCCTTCACAAACGGAACAAAGAAAACCGCTCAATTAAGGGCCGGAAAAAGTTTTAATTAAAACTCCGCGCCGCGCCGCCGTCCGTTATCTCTGTAGGGCAGTAGGAGGGTCAGGGTTTTCTTCCCGTCGGAGTACAAGACTAAATAGTTGCTTACGTAGTAGTTAATCATACCGTTTACATTTTTAAAGCACTTTTCGTTGAATTTCTCGGTGCCGAGGGCGACGAGGCCGTCCGCGCGTCTCCTCCTCACCCCCAAGTGGAACACCTTGGTGTCCTGCACGACCGACAACGTTGCCAGTTCGCCGCACCGCGACGGTCTCATGATGAAAGTCCCGTTCTGAGTGTTTTCCAGCATTTTTTCCGCCGTCTCGCGCGTCACTTCTTTGTAGAAACCCTCGTCGACGGTCGAGCCCCCGATCGATCCTGCGAATGTAAAACGCGGGTATAGTGCGGTCCGAAATATACCGTCGACGTCGCACCGAGCCAGTTACGTCAAAATCATCCGATTTATCATAAATTCAACGTTGTTTACTGGGACACAGAGAAAGATAGATAAAACGTAACGTAAATTCAAAAAATACAGATGTTTAATAAATCAAACTAATAATTGCCATTGCGTCGCTGGATCTGATAGAATACATTCCAAAAGAAGCAAATTTTTACATCGTGAACTATAATAATAATAATAATAATACTTTTATTTTCCATACAGTCAAATGTTTTAACAATTTGTATAGGAATTGTCAAATAAAAGAAAGTTTACAATAACAAGTACAGACTCGATGTATAGAGACACTACAAAAAAAATATCTATAATCACATAATCAAAAGGATAAGTAACAAAAATTATTTACAGTGAATTAAGATTTTTGCATTACCATCACGATGGTGAGTTGTAGCCCCAGTATAGGGTGATCTAGACGAAATTTTGTAAAATCTTTATTTATAGTTATATTTCGATTTTTTTTTTTGGATGGGTTAATGAAAAATGCACTAAAACTTGCTTCAATTTAAAGTCATGGCCAACTGAGACTATTCAACAAAAGAGTGGGAAGAGAGAATTACTAGTAGGGATTTTTTAAGAAATAAATTGGCAACGAGAAGCCATTATTGTTTGCAAACTAGAGCCAATTTAGGGGGACATTTTAATGTGACATTTTCAAATGAGAGTCTGGGCCCTACTTGAGAACAAAATTCTACAGATATGGTCTGTTCATAGACATAACAAAGTGACCAATTGATTTTGAATGGGATTATCCAAGGGTGGTCTTTAACATACAATGCAACAAAATTATTACCTTAAGTTTCGGAATTTAAATTCAGGTAAACTTGTGGTCCGTAATAGAAAATAATTTTATACTTACGTGTGTTTAATATTCTTTGGTTTGGTATACTACATAGTTTTAGTTTATTAGTAATCATTCTTGTTTCGTCTGTAATACAGCGTGTGTTGAATCGTGGGCGAATTATGCAAAATATGTGCGAGTCTAGTGTATCTCAGGAGATGCTCCCGCCCAAAAGAATAACTATTTTGCATGCTGGCTCTAAAGATAGTTGGATTCCAAATAGACGTATAGATTGTACCAAAAAGCAATTAGTTTAGGTTCTACAAAGCTTGAACCTACAAAAGGAATACGTCTGGGATAATTATGCAAAAAATCTAGGGCATACAGTTTTAAGGCTTCCTTCCACCTTACGACTGTATATTTAATCCCATTGAACATGTTTGGCACCAACTGAAATCTGCCATTCGTCGTAACAATGTTTTTGCCTGTGTTAAATCCAATGTCCTCAAACTAATAGAAACCGAAGATTTTAACATCCCTCCACAAAGTTGGGCAAATTCTGTTAAACATATAGAAAAAGCAGAAAAATCGTATATCCAGATTGCAAATAATATAGAACAAATAATAATTAGAACAGGCGATGATAGCGATAGTGATAGTGATATATTATGTTAATAATTTTAAGTAATTTAAGTAGGTAATAAAAATAATTTGTAAATTTATTTTAGATTTAAACATAAATATATACATAAATAAATAAATATTGTTCAGTATCTTTACTAACAAAACCACAAATAATTAAATTCTAAGCAAAGTAGGGACCTGTTCGGCCATATTTCATTCTTACAGCTTGGTCGGGTCTTTCCTTAATTCGTATCAGCTATTCAGTTTCTTATATCTATGAACAGACTTTACCTTTAAACATCAGATTAATAAAAAATAAAAACTGTTTTATATATTTCAATGCATTCATTTTTTTTTAATTCAAATAAATAGATATACAATAATTTTTCTTGAAAAATACGAAGCGTTTTCAAAAGTAAAAAATCTGAATTAGAATTTAATTCAAATAGTCAAACATACGATTTTTTATATTTTTATTTATCTTATATATCTTAAGCCATTTTCGAAATGTTATAGCTTGTAGCATAAAAATTATAGAGACAAAGTCGGTTCAATAAACCTGAGAAACTTTAAAGTCATTCTTCTTTTCCAAACAACGAAGTTTCTGAAACAACGTGGAAAATAGGTGGAAAGTGCTCCGCAAATCCTGCAATTTGTTGGGACCTGAGACACAGCATATCCTCAGAAACTTAGACACAAATATACAAAATAAAGCCCTTGAAAATATTGTTTAGTAAGTCACTTTAAAGAGCGTTTTCATATTTGGAGTTGACGACTTCTATATATATTTATTTGCCCTATAATGTTGAGATTGCACTAAAACCAGAGCGTACAATGAATGTTTCTATACTGATTGGAGAAATCTTTTATATTATATACACTATATTTATATAGAAACTTGTAAATACCTTTTCCTTTTCGAGAGTACTTCAAAGTCGGTCCTGCACTTATTTATTGCGGTTTGAACACGTGACGTAATACGCCGGTATAATCCGGACCGGACTATACGTCGGGATGAACTTTTAATTTTTTTCCTTTTTTTTTTTAAATTTCCGTTAGTTTTGAGGGACTGACTGTCTGGATGGTTCGGGGTGTAATTTATCTCTAGAATTTGTGGAGTTGAAAGTTTCGATTTGGACGCTCGATGATGGATCGCTCGCGGGGGCGGCTTATCTTTGTGCGGTACCGTGCGGGAGATCTTTTGTTATCGACATTGGCGTGCCCTCATTTTGCCTTTAAAAAAAAAGAACTGAAAACTGTTATATTATTGATGGGAAAAATTTATTATTTACGGAGAATTCTCGATTTTATAAAGAAATAATTTACTTACTTTGTGGTAAGTACTAGAAGAAGTTTTCTAATAAAAATTAAAGTCAAACTTTATAATCTGTAATCACTCTGTATACAGGTTGTTGAAATGACATTAAATATTCTAATAAGTGGATCTGCATCCTACTCTGATGTGGAATTGATATTTTGTTCTTTCCAAATTGAATAAAAAAGGCAATTTTTTTGTAACCTATTCTGACTTAACAGCAAGTCTATGGACTGGTAGTTGGTATCGCGATTGTCAGTCTAATACCTATTAAATAAATCAACGTTGACAACTGCTCGCAACATGTTATTTTTCATTAATATCCTGGAAAATCTATTTAGTCTATTTATCCTGGGCATGGTACATGGCTATGGTTCAAAACAACAACACCGTTTACGGGTGTTTTTGTTATGGCTAGGGTTATGTTTTGTTTACAAACTGCATAGATTTTTATTATTATTTAATTAAAATCGACACCTATCGAGAAATAGAACTTTTAAAGTACCCATTAATCGTTAAACAGTTTTAATCTTCTCCTGAAGATGCCAACTTGGTTGGCGAAACGCTCGTCGAGTACGTATAATTGAGTTTCGGTTTGTGGTAAAACGAGTTATTGTGTGTTAGTACAGTGCCGAAGGTTCCAGTCAAGAGTTTGAGGTATTTTACAGATGGGAGTAGAAAAAGTGTGTTACATCAAGACATTGATAAAATACATACGCCATTTAAAAAATTATGATGTAGTCTTATATGTCACAAAATTGATAGTTTTGTTTTATACGTCACTTGGAAAAAAACTTGGCTATTAACCCTACATTGTGTTTTTTTATCTTGATATCTCTAAAATCAGAAAGTTAAGGCCAATTAAAATGTTACCGAGATAAAATGAGCGAACTGTACAATAAGTCAGTTGAAACAGCATTTTCATATTTGAACTTATTATCGCCGTCATTGGAGCAATTTTTCTGGAATACCAGGTATCGTCTCAACGAATATTTTTTTGTATTTATCCTCCGACCCTGAGATCCATTCCTTAAATTATATGATGTCATTTCGATAACACCCAGTATCATAAAAGCTGAAAATAAATATTTTCTTAGCGAACCGCGATACGATTCTCACGTATCCATGTCCCGTTCGAAAGGAAATTGATATTCGAAAATCCCCAACCCGTGTGGCGGGGGATGGTGGGGAAGGGACACTCACCGATGGCGGAAGCGACGTCGTCGTCTTGATCGATTCGGCGGTTGCCGCGGGCGCATCCGCGTCGACAAAAGAAGCACATTTTGTAGGCGACGTCCAGTAGTTCTCTAAGTAGGCGGCCCGCCAAATTTGCGAAAACCCTAAACGAAGCTTTGAGGCACACGCAATCCGCTTTCGGGTCTTTGCTCATCGTTCATGTTCGTTTGTGACTGCGATCTCTGGAGTTTAGGCGGAAGAAACATGTGGTCGTACCGCGCACTCGCGGACGGATGGTTTTGTCGCCAGCGGTTCGGAAAGTATTGGAAATCTATCGGGCTCGAAAACCGCCGACGGGCATGATAGCGGGACGTTTTTTTTTAACGCCTACCATTATAGAAAACAAAAATAGCAGCGGCATGAGGAAAGGTCACGCATACATTTTTATCGGTATTTTTAAAACTTACTTAATTAATTTTAGATGACGTCATTTTCTAAATAAGGTTAACGGTTTTGGTTGTTTCTCTTTTTTTGTGCCTACGCTACATCTTAAAGAGTAATATTAAAAAATTAATTAAATTAAATAATTTATTAAATTTAATTTAAATGATTAATTGTATTAAATTTAAATAACTAAAAATAAATAATAACAATCTTAGAAGGTCATCTGGAATCCTGCAGACGTTTCGCCAAAATCTCACTTGGCATCTTCAATGTTCGCGCTCCGAAAACACTTCGAACACTGGGAGGTTATCGGCGGTGCGTGCGGTATTTATACCCTGCGCCGGAGATGGTAACGGTGCTGCTTGTGCGAGAGGGGAGGTGGCTCCGCCCCCCCAATTGTGGCGTTGTTAATTTCGCCCGATCGTAGTTGCCATGTCCCCGTTGGCTGCTGTATCGCTCTGCTGTTTGATTATCGTTCTCCACGTATTGGATAAATGCAGTGCGTCGTCTCTCGTATTCAGGTATCCGGACTTTTTTATCTCGATGGCCTCTCGTATAATCCTAATCTTAAAATCAGGAATATTAGCTATTTGTTTGCAAGTACCGAAATCAATTTTATGGCCTGTCTGATGTTGGTGCTGAAACAAAGCAGATGTTGTTTGTTTGTTTTTATGGCTAAACGATGTTCCTCGAGCCTGGCTGAAATCCTTCTTTTGGTCTCTCCCACATACGTCAGGCTGCACGATCCGCATGCTACACTGTATACTCCTCGGTTTTCCAGAGTAATTTTTTGTTTTGGGTTTCTTAGTATTGCTCCGACGGTATGATCAGGTTTGAATGCCGGTAATATGTCGTGTTTTCGGAATATTCGGCCGATTTTGTCAGTATCTTTGATGTATGGCAGGACAGCGATCGATCTTCGTTGGGTCTCGTCCTGCACTCTCCGCTGCGGCTGTTGTTGTTTACCGATTGCATTGCTGATGATGCGCCTTTGGTATCCGTTTTGTCGGAGACAGGTACTAATTTTTTTCAGTTCTTCATCTCTGTTCCTCTCGTTTGTGAGCCTGAAGGACCGAGCAATTAATGTATTTGCCACTGCCTGTATCTGTGATGGGTGGTGATGGGATTTAGCGTTCAGATATCTATTAGGGTGTGTTGGTTTTCTATAGACAGTGTGTTCGAAATGTCCGTCTTCGGTCCTTGTGATGTGCACATCTAAAAAGGGCAGACTGTTATCCTCTTCAAGTTCTATTATAAATTGAACCCTTGGGTGAATGGAATTCAGATGATCTAGGAATTTCAAAAGCTCCTCCTTGTAAAATGGCCACACAACAAATACGTCACATATGAATTTGGTCACTTTTCCTTATTTTTTAAATATCCTCAGAGGATAAAGTCAAGTGGAGTAATATCTGGAGATCTTGCAAGCCATTCTATCGATTTCTTTTCTAGCAATGTCCCGGAAAATAGGGACAGACTTGTTGAGCAAAATGTTAAATCTGTCTGACGGGCAGGTGAGGCTGATTTGGATTTGGGAAAGAAACTGCTAGGGTCGGAATTAAAACATTTATTTTTGTGGATGTTGTGTATGATTTTTATCTTATTATGATTATAATGATTATTTGTACTCCAACACCTACAATTTTGTTTATTGACCATTTAAACATACATTGGCTTTATCGCAAAACGGTATCTGACGTTAAAAAAATGGATTTAAATTTCAACAAAATTGTAGTCTGTGTAGCAATGTAATCTTATACGGATGATACATTTTTTCTTTTGGTACACGTAAAGCTGTTCGCTTGTTAATATCATTATATGATGTTACCTCGGAAGATGGGGCACATACGCAACTGCTAATAAAATGTTTCTTGTGTTCTCATGACATAAGTTTTTGGACTACCTGGTTGTAGACGATCTTTAACACGCCTGGTTTCTATAAATTTTATTTCAATTTTACGCACTTTCTGTATATTCTGCTTTAAACAAATAAAAAACTTATTGAGTTCTAGTCTTGTTTCCATATCCATTGAAAATCAAAATTTCATTTCTGTAATAATAGTTATTGTAACATTAAAACTAGGGTGTGCTATATGAATTATGTGCGGAATTCAACGCAGAATTCTAAAATGAATTTAAAAGGATTGCGTTGCATCTAAAGAAGGAATGTGGTATTGACATCTACTTTTTGACCCACCCAGTAGGTTTCTACTTACTCCAAAAATGTGCAAATGAAGTTGTTCCATATTTTAGTCCCTCACTGCATAGATTATGAGCTTCTACAACCAAATCTCCATATTTTTTTGAAAAACTTCGTATTCATTGCGTAATGCATTTACAGTAAAGGAGCGATTTTTGTTTAAATTGAAGCAATACAAAGCAAGCAAAATTTTGAAAATCCCACGTAGATCCTATTTTTGAATTAATTTATTTTTATATATTTAGAATTTTTTTATAACCGACAGTTAAATGAAAAAGAAGACTACCTTAATGAATAACTTTCATAAGCAAAGAAAAAATGGTTGTTTGTAAAATTGCCAAAGCTTTTCGTTAAAATGTGCGGTTAGGTCCCACTTCTTCTGGGGTTGAGTATTTGGTACTTCGCCGTGTTCTCTTATCGTTTTTTTATCTAAGCGAATGGGAAATTAATTTCTCAATTGTATTCGAAGTTCAGTTCTGTCTCGGTCAAAATTAGCAAATTATTTTTCAATTTACATACTAATATATATTTTCCAGGCGCTTATTAAAAACCTTTCTATTTGTTATCAGAATTACTACATATTACTATTTTATAATTAGTAACTAACGATTTCGTCCACTTTTTTCGTGGTAAAGTAGATCACTTTTGAGGATAATTCATCATCCAAATTTTGACTTGTACTCGAAACTAGATCAATTTCACGCCCGTAGCCATATTGAAAAAAGTGTCACAGACATCAAGGCATAAATGGTTAATAATAAGCGTTTCAAAAGCCACTTATCCGAAAACGTTTTTTTAGTTATTGTAAGGGATAATTACTAAAAAGTAAAAGTATCAGATTTTTCACGTTTTTAACATACTCACGTTGCCGCGTTTTCCAAAGTCGTTTCGAAATATTCTAAAGCCATAAATAAACAACAAAATCGGGTAAAAATAAAAAGCAAATAATTTCAAGTCGATATATCGGTCTACGTCGTCGACCGCTGGCGCTACACTCCGCCCGCCCGCCGTCACACGATATTCCGGCTTTTTATCCGGTCGCATTCAAATTACCATTACGAAAACGTTACGCGCGAAGCTTCTTTTTTCCTCCCCCGCTCCCCTCTTTATTTTCGCCCCGTAATAATGTTTCCGACCTATCCGTTTTGTTTACATATTACGTAAAAATTGTTACACATTTCCATACATATTTCACCGGAGTATTCCGGAGGCGCGGCGCGGAGCCACGCGAACGGGGAAAATTTCCAAGCGGGATTTACGACTGCCCGGTAATTGAGCGTGGAAGAAAACTCGGCCGAACCCCGTTTTTCGCTAATTTAATGCTCAAAATAAAAGTTTTTAAAAGGGAATTAATTTAGAACTCGTTTTTTGGGTAATTAGCACTTTTGGTCTTGTAGATTTGGAACCACGAAAAGCTTGCTCTAAAAGCTCTCTTAAAACGCTCCCTGTAAAAGCTGGTTCTGAAAGTTCGCCTTCCAGAAGCTCCCTCTCTAGAAGCCCCCCCCCTGACTTTAAAGCTCCTCCTTGCAAATGCTCGCTCTAAAAGTTCGTTCTTCAAGAGCTTCTCCCTTCTAATGCTGGCTCTGAAAGTTCGTTCCCTAAAATCTCGCTCAAATTTCCCCTTCCAAAAATTCGCACTTCGAAAGCTTCCACAAGCTCCCTTTCTAAGAATCCCTCCAGCAAAAATTCGCTCTAATTTTTTTTTATCTAAAATCCCGCTTTCCAAGAGCTCGCTTCCAAAAGTCGCTCTAACAGCTATCTTTCTAAAAATTCCTGCCTTCACAACGTCGCTTTAAAAGTTCTAAAAGTTTTCGTACAGTTGCCCCTCTTAAAGCTCGCTCTCGAAAGCACCAAACGTTCACTCTAAAAGCTCATTCTAAATGCTCGCTCTAAAATCTCGCTTTCCAAAAGCTGCTCCATCCAAAAGATCGCTTTAAGCACTAAAGGTATCTAAAAGTTTCCATTGCCAAAATCTTGTTCCAAAAGCTCTACGGGCCAACTCTAAAAGCTTCTCCTCTAATCTAGTAGGATTTCAAACGAAGAGGAGGGAGACGAAAACTCGTCCGCATCAATTTTCACTCACCTAATACTTGGAAAAAGTAAATGAGCACTTAAAAACAAAAAAAAGTGTGAAATACTAACGGGGTAGCATTTTTCGCTAGTTTAAAAACCAGGCAGACAGTTTACGATGACGAAGATAAAATAAAGAGCGGATCGAAATCTGACGGACGTAGGGATGAGGCAAATTTCCGGGCAAGCTGTCCGACCGACGGGCGAATCAACTTCCATATCCGGCGGCGATCCCGGTCATAAATATTCACGAAAACAAGGCGGCAACTCCGCGGACGAAACTTTAATTTGGCCCGCATGTAAATTCGAATGATGCGGGAGCTTCAAAAACAGAATCCAATTAATAATCGCCATGTTGCCCCAGTAGCGCGAAACGGCGGCCCGTGCGGCGTTCCTAATTCGCTTTCTCCCTCGAAGAAACTTCGAGAATCTTGATTGATGGGGTCGGCCATGCGTGTTTGGGCGATTAAGTTTTCGTAATTGTCTCGGGGGCAGAGATT